TTTCGTAAGTTTTTCCACGGGTTACAATTTTGATTTAAATGTTTTTTGTTGTTTAATGAGCCCTATATTTATAAAAAATTTACGAAGAAAATTTAACATGAAAAACCTTCTGAATATATCGTAATAAAAATCAATGTCACAATACTTTTGACAGTGACTGTATGTACTTGTAGATAAAAAATTCAATGAATTCATTAGTTAAAACTGAACGTCGCTCGCTACGTCTAGATTTATATTTTTAAATAAATTTTCATTTAATTTGATAAAAAGTAAATTGTTAAGATTTTCAGAGCTCAGCCTGGAACGATGTTTTGTTAATATTAAAGATAGAGCACTAAATGCTCGCTCTACGGAAGTTTGGCTGCTTGGCACAGATAAAATTATTTGTGACAGCTTACTTAGAGTTGGTTCAGGAATTTGCAAATTTTTCCAATAGTTGATTATGTCAGTGTTGAAAGGCATTTTACTTTGTTGAGCCAAACCTTCAAGTTTTAGGCGAAGCGATTGTATATTTTGTGACACTTGAACACTTTGTTGCGTTATTGAATTGGCTTTTCTTTCAAGCAAATCATACTTATCGTCGAAAACTTGGACCTGCTCAGCATGATCGATTTCCGAATCACTACCGATTTCAGTGCATCCCTCCAAACTACTCAAAATTGCGCTTGTGTTAATTATATGTGTCTGCAAATATAAACAAATTTAAACAATTTAAAACAAATATTTAACAGGCTGGTCACAAAACATGTTTCATTATAAAGGGCGTAAAATGTATATCAAATTAACTTGAAGGTTAGTTTTAAGTTGGAAAAAGGGACTGATGAGGGGTACTTTCAGCTTACCACTGCTTGCTTTTTTTGTATTTCATTCAAAAACGGTGAGTCCATATAATTGAATCTGCGATCCATATACAAAGCAGCATTAAATGCATTATTTTCCAATAATTTAGTTTTTCTTGATTGCATAGATTGCAGTAAATGTATCGCAAACTCGTTGCTCTGGATATTTTCCAGTTGTGCCTCGCAAAGTAGCCAGTCTCGGTAAAAGTCACCGATAGTATAACTATCTGTTTGTAAACTTTTGGTACATTCAGAAACTGGCTTGAAATCGTACACAAAGTTTTGAATAAAGTCCCAATTTACTTCACAACAAATCGCATGGTCATTTACAAACGTTCTCAGATCTAACAGAGAAGTAAGCATGTCGAATGTGGAATTCCAGCGAGTTGCATTATCTAGTGTAGGCATCCGAATGTCTTCATCAACATAGTTATTACGAATAATTTTTCGTAGTGAACGTGTTGCTTCTCTGCATACCGCCAACTCATTTTTATGGGTTTTGTATACATCATGTGCGCATAATTGTAGCGTGTGTACGGCGCATCTCACTACTGACATGACCGAGCTAAGTCTGTTATGAATTTCGCACTCTACATTGTCCTGCTCTTGCAGCAACTCCGAAGTTTTGATGACATTTGACCCATTATCAGTAGTTGAGGAATAGAGCTGTGTTGCTTTTATGTCAAACTTATTTAAGCAATTTAGAATTTCTTCCTTTAGAAAGGACGCCGTATGTCGCTTTTTCAACTCTACCATGCCTAGAGTGAAAATTTCTATTTTAAAATTTTGTATAATCTGTATATTCACTCCTAAAACACTTTTATCGAGCCTTGATGCAATGTCTAATTTTATGCACACCATTTTGTTTTCCAATAATTCTTTTAAATGGTTTCTCATGAGTCCGGCACACAAATCGAGCTTACTTACAATGTTTCTTGAATTAACTTTTATGTTAAAAGCACTTTCATATGGTTTTATAAGTTTTTGAAAATATTCTTCGTCATCGAAAAGCCGAAATGGTATAGCTTTCACAGTAACTAGCCCCACACAGCACTTTATGAATTCGTGCTGTTTCAGTTCAATTTTTATTTTGTTTGCACTTTTTGCGGACGGATTGTTTCCAAAGTTTCGTTTATGCACTGTGCTATAATGACTTTTAATATTGTGAAGCACTTGACCCTTGAACTTTTTTAAACATTCAAGGCACGTCGATTCATTTGTCTCTTCATTATATGACACATATTTGCTTTTATCAATGTTAGAAAATCTTCCCATTTTGAACCCTTTTTTATGCTACACTAAACGCGCGGAACTTCTACAAATGAAAATTTGCCAAAAAAAATGCTTCAATAAAAACAAACGGTAAACGAAAATCAAAACAATCTCCAAACTCCGAAAATACTCCAATAGAAACGAGTGATAAAAAAATTATGCTATCAAAATAAAACTCATTGAGCATGTATAATTATAACTACCATTGAAAAGAGTTAACTATTTTCAAATAATCTGAGCGAAGGAGAATAATCGAGTCGAAAGTAAAAGCATCTGATGCTTTTAAAGAGCGCATGTTGTGAGAGTAACGAAGGAGAAATACAAATAAACGATTTGTTCGCTCATTCGGAGATTGACGAATGCTCGCTCGTTTGTTTTTCAGCAGCAATGAAATAAACAAAACTAAACGCTTTGAGTTGAGTTGTATTGAGGCGAGTGAGAGATATTTCTCTCGTCAATGAAAAGTATTTACGAACTCTGCTTTGAACATCGAATTCGCAGGTTCGATCCCTGCTGAAGTCTAGAAAAAAAGAAGTCTGATGAGGAGATGTGGTGATCTCCGAAATAGTGCTATAACTTCTACCGCTTAGACTTTGTTGCTT